GGATGAGCCGCTTCTGTCGCAAGATCACCGCTCGCTGCTCAGCGATCACCGACTGAGCGTGCCGCAAGGGTTGAGTACCGGTGGAACTGTACAACCGCACCGACTCCTGCAGCTGTTCGAAGTGTTTGGAAGCGATGCCCTGAAGAGTAACGAACGCCGCATCCCTCTCAGAAATGGATCGAAGAAGGACGTCGATCTCGGCGTCCCGATCCAAGACTTGCTGATGGTGGAGCTGGGCCTGACTCAACGCAGCGTCGACCTTGCTCTGCTCAGCTGCGATGGCCCGAGCAAGTTTCGCCTCACTCAGAGCTACAGCCTTCCGCAGCGACGCGAGGAGATTAGCCGATTGCTTGGCAGCAGCCTCCAATCGAGACACTTGCTGTTGAGCCGACGAGAGCTGAGTTGACAAGTCGACATTACTGAGAGCAAGCGAGTCCAGTCGCCGAGTCAATGCGCGGTTCTCCTCCTGAACAGCTTGGTTGTCAGCTTGGAGATCGCCGATGATCTTGGGGTAATCAAGAGCGGCGTAATTGCCTTTCAGGATATCCAACAGTTCCCCCGCGGAAGCAGCATGCAAAATCGCTCGCCGCTGTACAGGATCGGAGGGTTCCACGGAACGAGTGAATCCGTAAGCCATGAGCCTCGCCAAGAAGGTCAATTCTTCTCGGCGATCATGCCCTTGCTCGTTAATTCTGGCCATGAGGGAGTCAAGACTCACTGGAGCAGCCGAGCTTGGCTGATTGGTGGCACCCGAAGTGGTGTCGCCTGGCAAGCTCGGTGGACCAGGAAGGCGCACGCGAGAAGACCCCGCCGACTCCGCGTCAGACTCATGGGAAGTTGTCAGGTCGACCAGCCCAGCTTCATGCCGGTCGCTGACCCCACGAGTACCGACGGGTCGAGGAATCGACTCAGCTGGCACGCCTTCACCTCGACGAGGAGTTGGAGAAGAAGGATGGTTCCACGGGTTGTGCTAGAACAACATGCGAAGAGTAAGGAGCTGCCAAGTGAGTGATAGCGGAAGCAACGAACGTACCAAAGAAGGTGGTGGGGAGCCGCGAGACGTCATCAGCCGAGTACGGACCAACGGTGGCAGAACAAAATGAAGGATTAAGACACTCACCAGCTCGGCTCGTATCATAACCGGGGCAGTTGTGGTGTAGGGATTTCCAGATTCGACCATACGCCGACCTACTTTAGGTCAAGAATCGGCTCGGTCTGATAACCCAGAGCTTAGGAGCCAAGGATCACGGTAAGTACTCGGCGATCTGTCCGGATATGCTATCCGGATAGCCGCTGAGCTCAACGGCCGCCTGAAGAGTCGGTAGAGATCCGAAACGACTACATTTCACTAGATATTTGTATGAGAAGCATAGGATTAAATAGGAGGAGCCGAAAAGGCTCCCAGAAGATAACAGAGCAGAATTTTCCTAGTCCAAGACAAGTGTACACTTTTCCGGTAAGTCCCTGCATAGGGCTGGATTATGCCTGCCGTCAATACTCGAGAGGCATAGCTTGTAGAGTATTGACTGGTAGCGCCAAGAGATTAGGTCGGTCCGGGTAGGACAAAGTCTCGCTACGCGCGAAAGAAAGTCCCGCATACTCAGCGGGCCGGTACGTCGGATAGCCCGGGTGCCGTAACACTTCTAGCTGAGCAGCCTCTGCGCTCGGTGACCTGTAAAAGCGCTCGCGCGCCGTCGTCCATCCTTTGGTGGAGGGCACAGGGTTGTGAACGAGCTCAGCCGAACCAAACTCGGCGGAGCCTCGGAAGTGATCTGACTTGGTTAGTCGGAACCGAGTGGAAGCGAGCCACTCGTCTGTCCCGGAAGGGCCGGACCGCGAGGGGACCACCCTCTGCGCAGGCCATACAACCGCCGAACTAACTCGGCGATTCGTTGTGGTTTGTGTAAGGAATCCACATCTGACGGTATTTGTGTGTTCTACTACACCACACAGGATTAGCCCGAAGCGTTCCGGCAGCTCTGACCCGATGATGCGCTCGACAGCGCGCGCCAAGCTGTTCTTGCTGGCAATTTTGAAAGTGAAGAAGAATAAATCGGTCAGAAGCGGCATCAAAACGAATGGGTGGTGGCGAAGGAGCCCTCAGAAATAACTTAAGGTGAATATGTACATAATTACCTTAATTAGCGCGCACAGACATAAATTACTCTGAAACTCAGGTCCAGACTATCAAATAAATAGCTTTCAAATATTTATGTCGATAATTGAAACCTCATTTTTTTCTCGGAGGCCCTGCTGATGAAGGTGGTGAACCCGTCCGGTAAGATTGGACTCGTTCGACTAGGGTTCCTCGCACTCGGGCTACGAACGTATCACGTACGATAGCGGAAGGAAAAGACGCTAAGGCGGTCAGCAACAACCGTATCACTTCGTCGAACGACTGGAGCACTACCATCTACTCGGATACATCGGCGCGGGTGGACTAGTTTTTTTCGGTTGCTTTAGACAAGAGCAACGTGCTGTGTAGTGTGTGTTTTTTTGCAATCTTTTGGTTTGACATCAGTGTAGAAAGTGCTCTTCTCGTAGCTTAAATTATAGATTCTCTGCCCAGAAGGCAACGCGAGAATAATATTCTACATATTATGTGTAGTTAATGCATTTACTTGCTTTACGTTCGAAGTTTATAGTATGTGGAAACCCACCGCTGCTTGGGGGCTTTGTCATCGCGCGCTAGGTGCCGATCTTAGGCCGAGATTTACATAACGAGTTGCTTAATAGGGGGTTGGGATCCTTACATATAGAAATTATTTTAGCAATCATGTCCTTCATTGAAAACGCGCATACTGATCAAAACGTAGGTGGTCATAATAACCTGGCGCCCGGTGAGCAGTACTATCGGCTACGATGTACTGGCGATATTGTGGACAACACCCGATCAAGAGTAATTGCTCCAACAGAGCGGGGACGAGGTGCCTTCGCTTCGGCAATGCAGATTTGCCAGGAGTCTAATACTTATAAGTATCTAACACTGTTAAAGAGGGCACCTTCTGAGAAGGCACAGATAAGGAGAAGGTTCTTCTCCTTTCTGTGTCTTCACCGACATGTATATTTTTTCTGGCGTCGACGAGGGTTACGTTGATTGGAAGTGCACGGAAATGTGGTAGTCAAATCATTAATACAGCTAGTGCTTTTATCTGCTTTAGAACTGCAGAGCTCGACGCACGGGAGGGCTTGGTCGCAGCAGCTCGCGGATGCTGCGTATGGCTAGATACACGTCGATCACGTTTTCGGACAGCTCACCTTGCAATCCGATGTGTTCCATATGATCCACCGCCGCGGTGACGATGTCGAGACACTCGTCATATGCGATCGCCACGGCCAGACTGTGAGGTTGTCCGGTTAGAGCCACCATTCGTTCGGCGGCGGTCGTGATGGCGAGTGAGCACGCTTCAAGTGTCGGTAGTTCGTCGCTTTCGACGTCGTTAGCGCCGTCTTCTGATGTCCAGGTCACGATGGGACCGAACCTCACTGTAGATGCTGTTGTCTGCTGCTCGGCGGCCCTTGTCGCAAGTAAGACTGAGTTGTTAAACGGCGTGTGGCAGTGGTTGATTGTGCCGACAGTGTCCGGGGTGCTCATGACGCTTGACGCTTGAGTCTTGCTCGCTTGTGCCCTTCTTGAAGAAATCGTGTCTGTGCTGGAGTGAGAACTCCTTAGGCGGGTGAGAAAGAACGCGGTGACTAGTATGCTATCGCCGCGGCAATGGAGGCCACGGGGCGAAAGTACGGTCTAATGCTGGGGTTATAGGTATTTCCTGAAGCAGATCTTAATTTGAGTGAAAGGGCTCCCAGGGACTTACGTGAAAATTGCGGTGTCAGTGATCGCCGGGTCTGTCTGAGACCCTCCACGCTTTCCCTCGACGGCTGCACATCAAGCGCTTTTGTCAGTGCAGCATCTTAATATCCTTGTGATAAACTCACGGCGGATTGTTGCCAGGGGTACGTAAAACTTTGCGCATTTCACTTGAAGTACAAGTCCCCTTTTTCTTGTTTTTAGTGTCTCCTATTCATTGGCAACAGCGTTTAATAATAATATAGACCTACCGATAATAGTGCAATGAAAATGCTTGTCTGTTGGTGATCGTCGATGATGCCTCTCCATCACACTTTCTGTTGGTGTATAATGCAGATCAATGATTTTGCCCTCTCATTACCATTTGCAGACCCCTGATGTTGCACTGAAAGCAAACTCGACATGTCATCCTGAATTGTTCTCAAACTCTGTCATCACTCGACTGGTATTGATGATGCAACTGCCCCCCCCCTTCGTTTAAATGCGATGTTGCTGGTAGAGGCAGCGCCGTCTTGGTGTAGATGAAGCAATCACTCATCGTCAGCGTGTCGACAAAACCTAAAAGAGAACCTGACCTCGCTGTAGTCCGATATTTTCACAGTTCGTGGTGTCGCTGCAGATGGCGTTCGAAAAGATACGGCACCCGTTAGAATGACCCGTGGCTTGCCAGACGCACTAGCTGGTATGAACGCCACCGTCTTCGTTAATTGCGGTATTCGTTTCTGACTACTATCGTTTATCTCCTGCATCTCAAGTCTCTCTAGTTGTTGCAAACGCGTAGATTCGAATCACCCCAGTCGCCGTTTAAGACTTTGTAGTCCTCTCTCAGGCATGAACTGAGTTGCGGTGACTGCTTCATCGGTTTTTCGAAAGCTGACAGTCGTGTTGGGTGCGTAGGTGCTTGCTCCAGCATCTGGTGCAGTGTTAGGATCATGGATCGGATACAGCTCTTCCACAATGCGAGAGAGATACCGCTGTACATTCAACGCAAGATCAGCAGCATTTCCATCTGAAGGAAGCTTCAGATCGATAGCAGAAGACAAGTAGGACTGCGTCGATGCATCAGTGTCTTCGAGTGATAGTGCACTTGCCTCTTCATCCTGCTGGAATTGCTAGTCGCGACCAGGATGTTCACGACGCCATTTGAGTACATGTATACAATTCAGAAATAGTAAGAAGTGTGCCCTTGGCATCAAGACATGAACAACGACTTTAGAAATGAACAACCAAATATCACGCTACCTAACAAAAGCCTAGATCGCTAGATGCAGCGACTCCGTGACGAACATGTCGCGGCGCTTGTGTGCACGTTCAAGCTGTGCCAATTGGTCTCTCAACGCGGCGTTCTCCTGGCTGACCCTTAGCAATTCATTGCGATACAGCACGTTCTTTCTCTCCGCTAAGAAGCGACACTTCTGTTCTCTAGAGAGCGCCGACTCCACCTCTCGCAGCTTTCCTTCCAGCTCCGTCGCCTCGCTCGACGTTGGTAATGAGTTTGCCGTCGCGATCGCCGCGGCACTAACACTCAGTCGCTGGAACATCGTCCAGCCCTTAGGTCGCTCTTTCTCGTCTGTGTCCTGCTGATGCGTTTTCTTGTCCGCAAGAGTTTCTCCCTCCATCTCCGGTGACGCATTCCGAGCCTGGAAAACGAGCGTCACAGGACCTCTCGGCACCTGCCGAAGCTGCTCTACGATTTGAGGGAAGCGCAGAGTCGACACGTCGCTGTCGTTCACGGACAACAACAAATCACCGGGTGTGATGGCTCCACTGGCTTCGCCAGGCGCTAAAGCACCGGACGGGAGGCGGTAGAACGGCACTCGAGTGTCTACGATGGCGTGGGAGGCATCCGATGCGGCTGCAAAATAAATACCGAGGCCGTACGCGCCCTTGACGAGCTCGACGCTGTAGCACGAGGCGTCCATGCCAATATCTTCTGTGTTGCTTCAAGATCTGACTTAGCAATCGTATTCACTAAATTCGGAAAATTGCTACTAACATTGGACAGCTTAAATGAGACCATCCAAAACAAAATGATACTACGAACCTAAGTACGAATCGCGATTTAAGCACTCTAAACGAAAGCGGGGCGTCCTTTCTATCTCTTAAGCCCTTATAAGCTACAGAATGCTTAAAACTGAAGAAGTTGTGGTCGCTCAAAAACATTATCTCCATTTATGAGCCCTCGAAATGACGATACATTTAGGAGTGCTGTGAGCTCAATATTTTTCAATTTTAAAAATTCAAGTGTTATTTAAAAGCTCTTGTTAAAAGCAATTGAATAAGGGTAGATTTATAGTTTTTTCGATGGAAGCTTTCAATAAATGTCACAGTTTGGTTAAGTGCGAAAATCAATTGGCCAACTTTAAGCTCGATTATCTAAATGGTTCGTACAGTGAGAATAGTTTAGCAGTTTTGTTTAACGCGACGCAGTCTCAAATCAACATAGCGAGTTCTAAATTTTTAGAAAATATCTTCTTTCATCAACACGAAATTGCATTGATAACGCTCTTCCATCGTGGCGGTTCGACGTTTGCCTTACCGCCGCTGCTCGAGTACGTGCCAAGGTCTTTCACCCAGAGAGCGAACTCCTCCAAATTGCTACGTAGTCTCGCTTCCTGTGTCGGATCCTGACTCGTGATATAGTCGATGTAGAAAATGTAATCCCTTTACAAGAACATGTTAGTTGGGTGAAACGCGATGAGTACTAAATCACGACAGCGTACCAGTGCGTTGTCTGGGCTGTAAAGAGACTTCCTGCAGTAGCTGCTGGACGGCTCTCGATCTTGACGATCATCACGTTTCGGAGAGCGAAAGCCGAGACGACCTTGAATAGAGCCTGAGGTTCGTTAGGAACAGCCACAACGATGCTAGACTTTGTAGTTGTGGCAGGGCCAGTGCTGATGCTTGCGACTCTTAGTGATGCGCTAAGTGGCAGCGGTGTCGCGTCAAGTCGTCCGAGAATCATGTAGCGCGTCTCGCTGTTTAGTTCGTCTCCAACTCCACGTTCCAGGACCACCAATCCATGCGCATGTGCAGCGTGTTCACTCGCAATTGCCGCCACGTGACGTTTTTCTTCGTGTTTGACCGTCTGACAAGCGCCAGCGCTATCCCACGCTGCGTTGCGCTCGATAATCATGCCCAATCTACGCTCCATGGCGCAGATATAACTCTCACAGTGATCTAGCACTGCCGGGTGTGACGATAACTGTTTAACCTCGTTCATAGCTACACCTGGCAGCACGCACAAACATAATTCTTGCACGCAAGCGACCTCGCCCACAATCTTTAAATGGGAGGCCACTAGTCGGTCCAAATTGCCGTGAAAAGTGCCCGAAATCGAGTTCTCCACAGGCAGCACACCGAACGCCAGCTCGTTCCTTTCTACGGCTTCCATCACATCATGCATGTGGGAAAATCCCACCGTCATGAAGTCGCTGGGTGTCAACGCATTGGCCGTTCGCAGTTCCTCAAACGCCATCTTAGCCGCCACCTCCGAGAACGCGCCCTCCTTGCCCTGGAACCCTACCAGCACGTAGTTAGTTGACAGAGGTGCCGGTTGAACTGGCTGTTGTAGCTCCTGTTCCGCCACCACCGTCTCCTGCTGAGTCCCGTCTGTCTCCACTTTGGTCTCACTTTCCGTCTTGGGTTTCTTGCTTTCGTTGCGTTTACGCGGCGAGATCTCCACGCCACGTTTATTTTCTGCTGGTACAGATGACACTGGGCCCGTAGACGGCCGCCGTCCTGCGCCCGGAAGTCGCTTGGCTGTCGGGTGCATCGCTGAGAGCTCGGCCTCCTTGTCTCGCCACGCGCGGACGCAGTTGCGATCCACATTGTACTGACGAGCGACAGAGCGCAGCGACTGCGCCTTGGAGGCTTCAACCACCTTGAGTTTCTCTGTCACAGTGAAGCTGCGCTTCTTCTCACTCTTTGCCGCCGATGCAGTTGCAGAGGACTCAGGGTCAGCCATACTTGTCAATCAATCCCCTTCAGCAAGTTTTTTTGGGCAAGTTTTCATTTTTTGTAAGTTGTTGCTACTAAAAGTGAGCTTGTTGTTTGTATGGGCTGGAGATTTCCAAAACACATTCGTTAAATACCGATTAGTGCACGGTAAGTGTAACGGGGTACGTAGCCCTAAGTGTACCCTGGTTACATGAAGTGTGACACTTCACACTTCAGGTGTATGACACGTCATACTCCGGGATATTTGGTACAAGGTACCAAGGTCGTTCAAAGCCATTATTGGTCAAACGACATTGCATTTCTATAGGTAACTTATAGTTTGTATTAAACCCAAACTTAACCTACCTATAAATATACTCAGTTTACAATCTACCTTATTTACGTCACTTCGCTCTCTTTAAATAAAGAGGGGACCTGTGAACTGCCGTTCACTGAGAGTTTGTATACTCTCGGAAGATAACTTCCTCTAGCGCAAGGTGCTGTGTGACCCCGTCACACTTGGTAGCACTCGTAGTCAATCCACGCCACCGCGGGTAGACTACCTGAACCTCTCCGAAGTTCGATGCCATGGATAGGAACGACTTCTCCCATATGATCGACTCTCAGTTCGAGTTGGTTCGGAAGATGGCAGGCTTCTTCGGGATGGAGGCCCTGCAGAGCCTGGTGGTGTCAACACCGGCTGAGCAGCTCGAGCGCGTCAATGCATTCGACGCGTACGAGCAGGGCCTCATCGCGCATGTGCGGGAGAACCTGCAGGCTCCGGCGGCGGAAGCAAATCCGCCTCACCCGAAGCCAATACGGCTGAAGGTTAAGTCGTATGAAGGGAAGGAAGGCGAGAACCTTCACTTCTGGGTCCGAGAAGTAGAGCTCGCGATGGACGTGGCTCTGATCTCGACCGAGCAACTGCGTGTTGCCTTTGCACTCTCCAGCCTTAGCGGCCGTGCTAAGAGTTGGGTGTACACACGAGAAGCAACATCCCCTGGATGTTTCACATCCTGGGCTCAGCTGTGCGATCAGCTCCGAGCCGCTTTCCTCCCGGCGGACTACGAGTACCGCCAGCGTTCGCGCTTCCTCTCGTGTAAACAAGGGAGGCGTGAGCTGCACGAGTATGTGCAAGAGATACAGGAGCTCACGGCGTCCCTAGTGGGAAACCCACTCAACGAACACATCAAGATGACTGTGTTCATGGACGGCCTTCGAGTGGGCACCGCACGCACATAACAGTTCCGGGTGCAGTCAAACGCCCTTGAAGAGGCGATTCAGGTGGCTCTTCAAAAAGAGTACAGTCATCGCCGGGCGCGTACGCCGGTCTCAGCATGGCCTGGGAGCTCCTTGTCGGCTCCCGGTCGAACAAGCCCCAGCGGACCAGCTCCCATGGAACTCGGGTCCGCCGAACAGCGTGACATCCGCTGCTTCGGCTGCAGGAAGATGGGCCACTTCAAGCGCGACTATCCCGCGAAAAGACTCCGCAGACGGTCCTTCCGCAAGCCCGTCCTCAAGGGTCGCTAACAGAAGCCAGGATCCCGGGGACAGGGGAACGCCGCGAACCAGTAGGGGCGGGGCGCCCTACTGGGGAAGAACTAAGTCTTCGCGATGGGTGCGCGGGTGGCGCGTACCACGGGGACTTAGCCCCTGAGAGTCTTCGCACTCTCGAATCGGCGAAGAGCAGCGGCGGGTTGCTCATAGTACACGGATGTGTACGGGGATACGATCATCCCTTTAGAATCTTGATCGGCTCTGGGGCGTCGAAGAATTTCGCACGCCGCCAGACGGTTGCTCGTAACAGCAACAAGTTGTCCGATGCTTTGAGAGAAAGCAAGGACAACGGGACGGTGTCAGTGCGACTGGCCGACGGGAAGGTCGTCACTGTCTCCAACGTCCAAGTGGATCTGGCCGTCAAGTTTGAAGACTTTGACAGCCTCGAACAGTTCACTGTTCTCGATATGGATCCATTTGATATGATCCTGGGCATGCCCTGGCTTGAGAAGCACGAGCCCTGGATCGACTGGTGAGGCAAGTCAATCGGTGCCAGCCGCCCTGCGCAGTCAGATAGGACATTGGTGAGTCATGTTCCCACCTCTGTCAGGACCCGGGACGCCCGCAAGGGCTGCCAGGGTACCAAAGCATCCGGCAGGTGCTTGGGAGTCGTCGACGTATTTGACGACTCCGAGGATGTTTTGATGGTGGCCGCGCCCATAAAAGGCGCTGGCCAAGTGGGTAACTTAGGTCCACAGGCGGGTAACTTAGTTCCGCAGACAGCTGCAGCTGTCATGAACACTGAGAACAGCGTGTTCAGAGTGGGTAACAGAGTTCCACTCACGGTCGCCCAGACCTTAACTGAAGAGGAAGGCGTTGAACACGCTTCCTGTGTGGGTAACACAGTGCCACACGCGGTCGCCCAGACCTTAACTGAAGAGGAAGGCGTTGAACACGCTTCCTGTGTGGGTACCATAGTACCACACGAGGCCACGAGTACCTCGGATGTCGGAGCGCCGACATCCCCAGACGTGGGTAGCAAAGCTCCACGTCACGGTCGCCGTCGTCAACGACGCCGCCGCCGCCTCAAGTCGGATCCGAACTTCGTTCCGATCAGCGTCGCTTCAAGCGACTCGGAGTCCAGGGCCTGGGCTCCTCCGACAAGGCCGGTGGAAGAGTGTTGTCAGGGCCCGAACTCCTCCGACAAGGCCGGTGGAAGAGTGGCGTCGTTGCCGACATCCCCAGACGTGGGTAGCAAAGCTCCACGTCACGGTCGCCGTCGTCAACGACGCCGCCGCCGCCTCAAGTCGGATCCGAACTTCGTTCCGATCAGCGTCGCTTCAAGCGACTCGGAGTCCAGGGCCCGGGCTCCTCCGACAAGGCCGGTGGAAGAGTGTTGTCACATCTTCGATGGCGAGACCGGTTTACCCGTCAAGGCATCTGGTGTCCACTTGGAACCGTTGCCAGAGGTTGCAGAGATACTGAACCTCGAGGAAATGACGGCTGAGTCTTTCCTGACGAACCTCAAGGCTGGAGAGATTGCTGAGATGTTACTCATGAGACCTGAGACCACTCGGGAGGAGCTGAACTCCTCCTCTGTCTTGGACGAGAACGTCCTGGAAGACCTGAACAAGCAGCGTCAGACGCGCTTGGGTTCTGAGATCGTTAAGAACCCCAAGGATTCGGTGTATCCTTTGGTGACGGAGTATGCGGACGTGGTGAACAAACACCCACCGACCCAACTCCCACCGGATCGAGGCGTACGCACAAGATTGATCTCGTGCCCGGCGCAAAGTATTGTGTCACGAGGCGATGGCCTCTCCCGCGCGAACAGTGCGAGGTCATTGATGCCTTCTTCGCCGCGAAAGCGAAGGCAGGCATGGTGCGGGAGTCGAAATCCCCGCACTCGACGCCAACTTTCTGCGCTCGAAGCCGAACGGAAAGTGGCGTCTAGTTCATGCTTATAACAAGCTGAACAACGCGACGGTGCCGGCCCAAACACCAATCCCACGAAAGGATGTGTTGTTGAACAACATGGCCGGGAGCGTACTGTACAGTGCGCTGGATTTGGTAGACGAATACTTCCAAATCCTGATGCGAGAGAGCGACATCCCCGCTCACCGCGGTGATCACTCAAGCGGCATGCTTTGGGAGTGGCTCGTCATGCCACAGGGCTTGGCTAACGCCCCGGCGACGTTCAAGCGTCTGGTAACGCAATTGTTCCGCCCTTTGCGTACCTTCGTACAGACGTACTTCGACGACATATTCGTCCATAGCCGTGCCGAGGGAGGCAAGACGGCCATGGAGGTGCATCTAGGACACCTCCGTCGAGTGTTGGACGTAATGCGAGCAAACAAGCTGTACGCCAACATCGACAAATGCGTTTTCGCGTCACCAGAGATTAAAGTTCTCCGTTGCTTCGTAAACAACGTGGGCGTTCGGGCTGACCCAGACAAGGCAAGGCCATAGCAGCATGGCCGACGCCCCGATCCCAGAAGGATCTTCGAAAGTGGTTGGGCTTGGCCAACTACCTTCACAAGTACAGCGCAGGGTACGCGGGCTTCGCTAAGCCCTTGTCGAGCCTCCTTCAGAAGGACGTCGACTGGCGCTGGGAGCAAGAGTACCATGATGCTTTTGACAGCATCAAGGCCAGTCTCCAAGAGACCCCTGTCCTGGCCCTGCCGGACGAGACGAAGCCGTTTAGCGTCGTCTGCGATGCCTCCGATTACGCCATCGGATGTGCATTGCTGCAGGCCGACACGGCTGGACATGAACGAGTCATCTCGTTCCAGTCCAGGCAGCTCAAAGCCGCCGAACGGAACTACCCTGTCCACGACAAGGAGCTCCTGGCAATGAAATATGCCCTTGTGAAGTTTCGTGTTCACCTTCTGGGCTCTAGACCCTTTGTGATCTACACAGACCACGCGTCCTTGAGGACGGCGACTAACTCGCCTCACCTCTCCCAAAGGATGGCGAGGTGGCTGTCCTTTTTCGCGGAATACAACTTCCGCGTCGAATACAAGCCGGGCAAGCTCAACGTGCTTGCGGACGCCCTCTATCGGCGTCCTGACTATGAGTTGGCCCACATCACGCGGGTGACAACGGATCTATATGATCGGATACGCATGGCATATCGGGACGACGAGGCTGTCGCGCCTATCGTCAAGTTCCTTATGGCCGGAACGAGCGCGAAGTCCGACTGGCTCTCGTCGCGACAGCGCTCACGGCTCCACCGATATGAGTTGAAGGAGGGCCTCCGCTATTACCGGGTGGAGCCCACTGATCCTCCACGGGTGGTCGTACCCAACAAGGAGGATCTGAAGTTCGATATCCTCGCGGAGGCGAATGACGCGCCCTCCAGCGGCCACTTGGGCCGCGAGAAGACCTTTCTGTCAGCCTCTCAGTCCTTCTGGTGGACCCACATGTACAAGTGGGTCGCCTTGTACGTTAAGACATGCGAAACATGTCAGCGGGTCAAACCCCGCAGGGCACTCTTCGGCTCCACTACAGAGTCTGCCCGTACCGGCTGACTGTTGGAAGTCGATGGGTCTTGACTTCATCTTTGGGCTTTT